TGGCTACTCCACATATTTAGGAAAGCCTGGAATGAAAGAACTGTACCAATAGACTGGCAAAGAGCTCTTATAGTCCCAATTTGGAAAAGAAAAGACAATAAGCAAGATTGTAACAATTACAGAGGCATCTCCCTTCTAAGCCACGTAGGAAAAATGTTTGCCAAAATTCTGGAACAACGAATTAGATCCGTTGTAGAACCGATCCTGAGCCCATCACAGGTCGGATTTAGGAAAGGAAGAGGGTGTACTGACGCTATTTTTGCTTTAAGACAAGTTAGCGAAATGACAATAGAACACAGATATCAAATGAACATCGCTTTCATAGATCAAGAAAAAGCTTTCGATAGAGTAAACAGAAATTTATTATGGAAAGTTCTTGAAAACTACGGTATAAATGGAACAATTTTAGATTGTGTTAGGGCTATTTATAGACAAAGTGAAAGCGCCATTAGAACAAGAGCTGGCATCACAGACTGGTTCCCAGTAACATCAGGAGTAAGACAAGGTTGTGTATTATCACCTTTACTTTTCATAATATTTATGGACAATATTAATAAAATAGACATAACACCAACAGATGTCGATAAACAGGAGGACTTCAATGAGCTGCTCTTTGCCGACAATCAATGCATATTTCACAGTGATAGTAAACAGCTGCAAGACCACATAAACCTACTACACGACAGTTGCCTCAAGCATCATATGAAGATCAATACTGAAAAGACAGAAGTCATGAGCATAAGTAGAGAGCAACAGACCATCGACATAAAGATTCTAGATCACAGCCTAAAACAAGTGCAAGAATTTAAATACCTGGGAAGTATCTTTACATCCAATGGTAAAATAGACAGAGAGATTGAAGCAAGAATCCAACAAGCCAACAATGTCGCATACCAGCTTGCCCCAATTTTAAAACACCCTGCTGTCCCAGCTGAGATAAAAAGACAAATTATAAATACAAGCTTTATACCGACATTAGGTTATCAATGTCAGACTTGGACATTAACAAAAGAACATGAGAGAAGACTAACCACCTGTGAAATGAGATGTTTGAGAATGGCTGCGAATAAAACCAGAAGAGATCGAGTGAGAAACGATGTGATTACAAGAACTATTGGAACCATACCCATCGTTAAATTTATTGAGAAGCAAAGAATGAAATGGTTTGGTCACCTAATGAGAATGGAACCAACGATGCCAGCATCAAGAGCATACAACATGAAAATCGAAACAACAAGGGGCAGGGGAAGACCAAGAAGAAGATGGATTGAAGGAGTCACGGACAACTTGAGACTTCATAACATCACGGCATATGAAGCGACTGAGCGCGCCCTGGCTCGGTTGCCGATCATCTGATAGACTGCGACACCTAGCGGCACAAGCAGATTTTGACAAAAGAAGAAGAAGAAAAGCTCACAGCATAGAAGACGCGATATCGCCGGCTGCTGACAACAAGGAGTAAAATACAACTCGCTAGGCCTGAAACCCCTGCGACACAGTGCAAGCGCTACACCAGATCAAGGCAATAATGGGAAGGGAAACTACTCTCATTGTGGGCCGCTTATCGTGTAATGTACCTTTATCACTATGTTCAACATGTTGATGTCATTATCATCAAATTCTGCCACCTGTCGATCATGCCTTTCTACAACCTGTGATCTTCAATATAATACATCAGCGTTCATCATTGTCATGATAAATGTAAACATTATTTTTTGACAGACTCGATTGTGATTTCAAAGAAACCAAACAAGGAGAATGAAATTGCATCAGATGAGGCCCTTGATATCACTGTGTATGCTCATGGAGATGCTTGCTGTCACATTGACTATCTCTGGTATTTCAATGACAACCCATTGACTGTGGAAGATTTACAAACCCCACCTTTCATGTAAGAGTAACTGTCATGTTGTCATTAAATGTTGCATACTGTTAACTCCTGCTGCTGCTTCTTTTCTTCTTCTTCTTCTTCTACTTCTTCTTCTGCTTCCTCTTCTTCTTCTTCTACTTCTTCTTCTACTTATGCTTCTTTTCTTTTTCTTCTTCTTCAACTTCTTCTTCTTCACCTTCTTCTTCTTCTTCTTCTGCTGCTTATTCTTCTTCTTCTTCTTCTTCTTCTTCTTCTTCTTCTTCTTCTTCTTCTTCTTCTTCTTCTTCTTCTTCTTCTTCTTCCTCAATACGAGGGGAAGTCAATAAATAAATAACAATTGGCTATTTAAAAAAAATAAAAAATAAAGACCATAACAGCTTGAAAACAATGTATTCCCTCCCTTTATTTTTCAACATAACTGCAACCAACACTGATGCACTTGTCCCATAGCTTTTTACTTCTTCCAAATCCTGCTGCATAGAACTGCATGCTATGCTTTGTTTTCTAAACCACATTTTTACTTCACATTTAACTTCTGCATTATTTGCAAAATGTCTCCTGCCAAGGTGGGCTTTTATTGGACCAAAAAGATGGAAATTGTGCATTATGTTGTATGCTGAACCATGTGAACACCACATTGCAGCTGCTACAAAGTCAACAGTTACTCACATGTCACCTCTAATCCTCTCCTCCACACACTACATGGATGTGTCTGTTTCAATCTCAACAGGACGACCAGATCGGACTTTAACAACAATTTTAGAGTGACCGTGAGAAAAAATGTTTGCCCAGCTAAGCACACCTTTACGGGATAAACATTTGTCAGCATAAACAGGAAGCATTTCCTTATGAATGTGCTTTTCAGGCAGCCCTTTTTGGCCCGAAAAATAAACACAACAGCATGTTCTTGTTTGAGGGTACACCCAGTAAGTATAGTCACCATTTTGTTTCTGTGTTGTGAATGTGCATGCAACAGGTAGCACCACCTAACGAATGGAGACATAAAGTTTGATGTTGATGTCACCTAATGACACCTTTAGAAACTATCAACTACATTTTTTTTGCCATCTCATAACCATTTGTGACATACTTCTTGACTTCTTCTCGTATGTTTAATATAATATATAATAATATAATATTATATAATATAATAATTTAAGAATTTATAATATTTTGATAATATATCATTATTTATAGTTGTGGTTGTAATCTAGTTTAGAATCTGCATGAAGGTAGATATTTTTACAAAATGACCCTAGCTCCCACGTCGCCTCAGCCAAAAATGGATACCAGATAAGGTCCCGAAAAGTAACGGTGGGCAATGTGATGTCAAGCAATTAAACCACCAGGTGCTGATTGTCTATAAAAATATGAATCTAGCATCATATACCTGATGCAACACTGGCATAGATGAGGCGCTATTCTTTAACTTTTACTTAAACTTTACTTGAGATAATATAAACTGTTGTTTTTTAGCAAGAACCAAAGGCAAAGTCATTAAAGAAGATAGTGGAGACTTTGCGTCTGCCACCAGCAGTATGACAATGGAGGTTATGGCTGTGACAGAGGCCTTAGAATGGCTGAATACTCAGGAGTACACTAACGCATATTTGCTCAGTGACTCAGTGAGCTCCTACAGAAGATTAAGGCGGTGCAAATATGGAAACAGTGGCTGGATCTGATACAGCATGCAGTGTTTCGAAAAATCACTTTCATTTTTATCCCAGGTTATGCTGGTGTGAAAGGCAATTAGACAGCAGACAGACACTCTACATGGCAGTGCCCTCTATAGATAGGAGAGACATCATTAGTGCCATATGAGAGACTAAACGCTGTGAGATTTTCAGTTTCATGGAAAATGATTTTTCACTGAATAGACTACACAACCTGGGTATACCAGTTGTAGCAGTGATACAGGAAAATCATACAGGATCCACCCCTCATTACATTAGCCAAAACACCATAGCAGTTGTTAGCCTAAAAGCACTTGGAAACATACTCAGGAGGAGATCAGAGTCATGTCCAATGTTCGACAAAGATGGTCTCAGAAAGGAACAATGAACAATGTTATTTTCTTTTTCATAGCACTGGCTCCATAACAGAACAGCAACTTGGAGCTTTTTCTTCTCCTCTTTTGGTGTTCACCAGCTGAAAACTCTGGTGGAAAGTTCTGGTTGTTAATCAGTCTTTTTCCAGAACCTGAGCGTTGTGTGCACATCCATTTTATAGAACTGACTTATTTATTTGCAGATTGTTGGTTCCTTGCCTCTCAAACAGATGCACTCTGACTCTTAGGAGGCACCCATTTAGTCGACTCTTACTTACTACATGCTTGCTGGGAAGGCAGTCAGTCTATTCTTGTTTTTCCCCACAATGAGGCCCTGAATTCCACACAGAGAGTTCCCCCAGAATAGGGCCCTCCAAAACACAGGGGGTTGAAGTTTTATTGTAGCTACCTGAGGGAGCATAATGTTTAGAAAAGCAAATCTATAGGGAGTAACCATTAAATGAATGGATAGTTGGTTGTTACTGCAGGAGTTAAATGGCTATACTCTGTATTGTCCGTCCGTCTGTTTTTGATGCCTCTGTACTCCTCATCTTCATGTTCACTAGCTGTAAGGTCCAGCAGAAAGTTCTGGTTGTTTGTCCATTTCTAGACTTAGTCTTCTTCTAGAGTCTGAGTGTTGCGTGCACATCCATTCCACAGATTTGGCTTATTTGTATGCAGATTGTTGGTTCCCTGACTCTCAGGCAGGTGCACTCTAACTGAAGGAAGCACCCAATTAGTCGACTTACAACATGCTTGCTGGGGAGGCAGTGGGTCTATTCTTGTTTTCTCAAACAATGAGGCCCCAGAACCCACATGGAGACCTCTGTAACAGAGTCTGTCTCTCTGGGGTTTAAAAAAAATTTTGGTCCATTAGTCCAGAAAACAATTTTTTTTTTTTCGGTATCCATTATTTATGTTTTAGAAAGCAGTGGCAAACTACTGATTGTAAAATTGCCACTTCACAAACAGCCAAAATAATGCTGGGGTTGGTTCTGCATCGTCCTGTAAATGATTTACAGCCAACTTTTATTTATGTACATCTTTCAACTGCTATTTTGAAATGTCATTTCTGATCATCAGGTGGAACTCGGCCACAGAGGTTCTGATTTTCAATGCCAGCACAGTCTCTGAAAAAACGTTAAACTCCTGGTTTGGCACGTACAAGTGCAGAGTTTCTAACAATTACCAAGAAGTGAATGTTGAATTTACTATATCTAAGAAAGGTGGGTCATTTTTTAATTCATGATCAAAATAACTTTTCTACATTAAAAAAAATATATATATTATCCCAGGGTTCTGGGATCCCATTGTGCCCCCCCCCCCCCCCCTCCTAACAAACACATCATAAAAGTAATCTAATTAGGAGTATTTCCTTCACAGTTGGAGTGCCAGAGAGGCAAGGAACCAACAATCTGCATACAGATGAACTAGACTGTCAAATGGATGTGCATGCAAAAATTCAATTTTTTAAACAAGACTAAAATCCATAAGTGGATGAATAACTTTTGCAGGAGTTTATGGCCAGTTAACATGAAGAAAAAGTTTTTTTTAACATTCTTTGGCTTTTTAGCTGAATTTTGCTCCATGCATGTCTTTCCTTTTTGCAAATATTTATAGTTAATGTTCACTTGTCTTCAGTAATGATGATGATCAGGGTTTTCTTTTTTCTGCTGGTATGCAGTGGTATGCAGTACCGACACCTCTTGCTTAGGCATAATTTTGTTTACTGTTAATCTTCTTCTTCTTTGTTCACTGGCTGTAAGCTCAGGCAGAAAGTCCTGGTTGTTCATAAGTTGGACTTGGCTTTGTACTAGGGCCTGAGTTTTACGTCTGCATCTGCTTTACTGGCTTCTTTGTGTGCATTTGGTTGTTCCTTGGCGCTCAGGAAGATGCACTCTAACTCTGAAAGCAGTCCCCAGTTAGTCGGTATGTTATTGTTTTTCCTGAACAATAGGGCCCACAACCCACAAGGGGATCAGCGTTAATGTAAAAGACACTTTGAGATAAATACCGGCACCTTTTTTGTGACAGGAAGAAAAGTGATAATAATGGTGATGATTCTAATGCTTCTGGGTGTTTACTTTTCTAAGCTCTAGGTCTGAAGAGTTATACTGGTGCATTGTTATGCTGGCACCTGTTACCGTAGCAATCTTCACAGAACATGGAACATTTGATGATGTCACCCAGCATGACACATGGATGCACACATGATGTACCTGGTAACACCCAGGTCAGAACTGATACCACTACCCTTCAACAGAGCTCTCAGTTAACGTAATACAGTGGCACACTCCAGAACACGTCAGTTCTTTGGAACTCTCCGCTGTGAACAGTTCAGTTACTTGGATTCTTCGCTGTCTGCTGTAGACTCTATTCTCTTTTTGATTGCATGGAATAAACTGGTTTTATTTAATTTTCCACCCACAAGTTCACTAATCTTTCCACCCACAAGTTCACTACTACCATGCGAGACCCCTTCGTGCAGAGCATGCAGACCATAGTTTCTATTCATCATGAAACCCTGTGGTTTTTACCCAAGTTCACAGTCATTCAAGTCCTCGCCCCAATGATCCCATCAACTCGGGGGGCCAGTTCCATTAAAACAAACATCAGACAATATGCACTAACAAATACTGAACTTAGGCCCTCATATTTCCATTTATTGATCACAACAGAGAGGATTGGTGCACTGAGAAGTGACAAGGGGATCTGGCCAAAACTAAACAGTCAGAGAAAAGGCAAGATGCATATACAGACTGCTCCTGGTACAGTGGCAATTGCTACTCTGTACTGGTGGCTGAAAATGGGAATTAAGCATTTATGGGAATATCCTGAATGCTGTGATATTGTTAGTTAACTCAGCTCAACTCAGTTGATAGCTCTATGTCATCATCTTTCTACCAGTAAACCAGAGTTCCAGAAAGTGACTTAGTAACTGTTGAAGATGGTTGCATTAGCTTTTCTCTCTGATGGTTAGAAGTAGCACTTAATTGTGGCCACATAACAACACTGCAGAGCAGGAGAAGAGGCTGTGAATAATTTATGTTGAGTCAATCACAAATTAATCACATCTTTATGCATGTTTTATTTCAGGGAGAAAAAGTGAATTTAAATATAATTTGAACCTTCAGGAAGAATGCTCAGCCAGTTATTTCAAGAGATTTAATTGCATCCCAACAGGATTCTCCTTCTAGCAGCATCAGTCACTTTTCATCCATTCAGATACATCTTTCATTCCATTTGCAAAATGTGTGTCCAGTTTAAGGACCCATGAAACATATTTCATTAGTTTGTTTTAACTCATTTCCTCTTTAGATACAACACAGAACACAACAAGCTGACAAATCACTTGCTCGCTAAGAAAAGAAAAAAAAAAACAGAAACAAAATCAGGAGTAAGGTTCATAAGAGAACAATTTCGGACAAAACAAATTCTAAATTAAATTCTAAATAATAAAATGGTTTGCCCACTTCGAAAGAATGTTTTACAATGCCATACAATGCACCTAAAAAGGAGAATAATGCAGTGCATCAGGCAGACCAAGAACAGGATGGAAAGATAACATCATGGAAACTGTACAACAGCATGATATGTCAATGGTAGGACTGCTAGAAGAACAAGAAACTCATATGTCCCTTGACAACCAAAGCTTTACCAAAAAAAGTGAAGAAGAAGAAAGCAGCAAAAGATAGAAGTGTGTGTGGGTAAACATCTGCTGCAAAAGTGTTCAATATATGTAGAACAGGTGTGGGTTTTTATCATGGTATGGGGTCACAGGTCGACCCAGCCTTAAACAGGTAACAGGATGTATGTTCTGGGGAAGTAAAGATGGCCAGCGTAATGCTGACCACATTACCCACCGAGTGCCGATTGGGCTGTAAAAATATGGCTGCTCTTCCCATCTGCCCGATGCGCCTAAAGGTGTGAAAAAGGATCTTTCCTTTTTTAACTTTATATGTAGAACAGAGAAAGTTTTTCTGACCTATGACCTGTTCTATATGAGGACATACACTCACTAAATCAAAAAATCGATTCTTCATTAAAAAACCTGCAGGAGGGAACAGTTTAGGGCAAGTAAGCAAGAGGTAGACAACGATACAAGTGGGAGGACAACATCAAGAGATGGACAGTCAGCAGTGTACCACCAAGAGAAGAGACAGAGCATTTAAGAGATTCCCATGTAGCCAACCATTTTTGTGCAGACAGCACCTGATTGATTGCTGGACAGATTCTCTCCTGCTGTGTGTGCCCATATCTTTCTCTGTTTATAAAACAATATTGTAAACTTCCTCAGATTTTATTAGATCAATAGTTTAAACACACTGATAACCCCAGATCTTATTTTGTATGCTGTTTAACTAGTTTGCCTTCTGTACCAGGAATTGTTGCCCCAAAAGTTGCTGAAACTGGATTTGAACTTTGGTGGATTGCCATTATAGTTGCTGTACTGCTGATTATTATTATTATTCTTATTATATTCTGTTGTATCAAGAGAAACTATCCTGGAGAAACTTATCAGTGTGAGTACATTATTGCTTTGTTTCATAAAAACATTGTTATTTGCTTGAAATTGTATTGTGGTGGCTTCCACATAGCAAAGCATTCTAAAAAGGTGAAATTTTATTGTTTATGGCCATATCTGTGTGTATATGTTTTGTTTACTTTGTCTCCTAGAGGTTTTATAAGTTGCCTACTGAACATGTATTTGACTTTATTCTTCTTCTTTCCTTGTCTTGAAATAGATTATCTGGATCTGCAATGTTGTCTCTAGTATGAACTTCACTGTCTTTTGTAGTTTACTCAGCGACTCATAAAGTTTGACTTGCGCCGATGTTTCTCTTGGCCGAAAGTTTTGCCTTGATATGTTGTATTTGGAACAGTCTTGGAGGACATGATCTGTTGTCTCAGGTGCCAGTCCACATATGCACATGTCTGATTCGCCGATTTTAAATGTTGTGTACATGTGGCTGCGAAGTCGATTGTGTCCTGTTCTAAGGCGTAGAATAATAACTTGCTCTGGTCTGTCCATAAAATGGTAATCATCTTGTGTCAGTTTTGGTGGCTTTCTGATTAATTTGATTATTCTCTTCTTTTGTTGATGTTTGTGTTTATATATACTGTTGTATGTCAAATCTATATTTAATTAAGAATATTTATATTTGTTGATAATGTGTGTGTCAAAGCTATATTTAATTAAGAATATTTATATTTGTTGATAATTTGTGTGTCAAAACTCACGCATGGGATTCTGTCCTCTTAGACCCAGTGAAATGTACGCGAAGCAAGAGTTACTTTAGGTCTAATTAAGACTCTGGCATAAAGATGAACTGATCGTGTAACACGGGATGAAGCCTCGGTCACAGCAACTAACCTATGACCAAGTCTGAATTTGAATTTCAGTTTTATGCAAGGGCTCAACTATCACATCTGATCGTTACTAAACCAACAGCGGGTAAGAAAACGGGAGAGGAGGAAACAAAAAAATAGCAGTGGTGGTTTTAGTAGCAGCAACAGTAGTAGAAGAAGAAGCCGCAAAGGTAGTAAGCAGCAATAGTAGTAGAAGCAGCACTAGTAGTCAAAGTAGCAGCAGTAGTAGTAGAAGAAGCAGCAGCACTGTAGCTGTAGTAATATTTGATGTAGTGGTAGTAATTATGGTGGCGGTAGTTTCCATGGTGACAAGATGACAAACACCTTCTGCAAAAGAAATACGGATTTTATGGGAAATGCAATATAATTAACGGAGACAAATGAATGAAGTTTGAGAAAAAGATGAAAACTGCAAATGAAGTAAAATAAATCAAAGTGCAAATGAAGACTAGTTTACGTCATAGGAGGAGACTCTTCAAATACACACTGGGATAGATTTTAAATGACTTTGGCTTCCAGTGTGACCCAGCTGAAAGTAGATATCAGGTAAATAAGTCCTGGGAAGTAAAGGCGGTTGGCATGATGTTGACCACATCACTCATCGGGGGCAGAATGGTGTACAAAAATAAGAGTCCAGACTCATATGCCAAATAGGCCGCCCCTCGTGTCAAAAGGGTCCTTTTATTATTTTGACTTTTATTTTTGTAAAATAAGTCACATTTTTCACAGACATACGGGCACTCACTTAATTAACAGTGAGGATGATGTCACATAGCTGTTTTATCTCCCAAAATTACTTCTTAGTAGCAGTTTTAGGCTGTTTAGCCAGGTAAAAGTGGCTGAACTGAACTGTTAGAATGCTGGGCTGTCACGCGGGATACCCAGGTTCGAATCCTCGGTAAGGCTGGGGATTTTTTTTTTGTCGGGGGGCAAAATAAAATCCTCACCTGCACAGTTATGGCGACAGCACTAGCCATGCGGCTGTAAATCATCAGGCTCAAAGACCCTCCTGCCTACACCGCAAAAGTGGTAAAATAAAGGCACTAATTTGTTTTATTTTTTTTTTTTAAACCAGGGAATATAGGTCATTATTTTGTAACCTTCTCCTTGAAGGGGATTCCATCACATGCCAGGATGTAGACAGCACAGATTTGTTCCATCTCTAGGGATATCATGTGAAATAGCAAACCTGATGGCCTGTCTATTCCAGCAGGAACATGATGATCATTATCATTTTCTTCCTCTTCTTCTTCTTCTTCTTCTGTTTGTTCTTCTTCTTCTTCTTCTTCTTCTTCTTCTCCTTCTTTTTCTTCTTCTTCTTCTGCTTCTTCTTTTTCTTCGTCTTCTTCTTCTTCTTTGCCACATTCACCAGCTGTAAACTTCAATGAAAAGATCTGGTTGTTTGTCCACCTCTGGACTTTTGTCTTGTTCCAGAACTTAAGGTTTGCATGTGCATCCATTTGACAGATCTGGCTTGTCTGAATGCAGACTGTTGGTTCCTTACCTCTCAGGCAGATGCACTCCAGCTTTGAAGGAATCCCCTTAATCAGATGCCATCTATGGCATGCTTATAATGGGGGCAGGCGGTCTGTTCTTTTTTTCCCAACCAAAATGGGGACCTGGAATCTACAAGAGGAACATCATCATGTAGCAGGACCTTTGCAGAACGTCGCTCTCATCACAGTCTGTCTGTAAAAAACTTGGTCTCTTGCCAGTTCTCCCACCTCATGAACTTTCACACTCAAGGAGTCACTTATATCATGTGCCCATCTTCGTGTCGGTCAGCCTCTGTCCCTCCTTCCTGGTACCATACCTTCTGCTATAATTTTTTCCAATCCGTCGTGGCGCTTGATAGAAGAACAATTATCATGAATTAATGAGCTACATTGATTATATTTTTGAGTAGAAAGACGTTAAGCAATCATGTATGGGTTATGAGTTAACAACAAATTAATGTGTGCATTTTTCTTTTTCAGTGGAAAAAACTGAACTTAAACATCATTTGAACCCAAAGGAAGAATTGCTCAACCAATCATTTCCAGAAGTTTAATTGCTTTTTCACCAAGGATTCCTTTTCCAGCAGCATCCATCACTTTGTTCCTCAAACTACATTTTCATCTTTCAATCCATCAGGAGTAAATGTGTCTGTAAACCAGCTTAGTATATTTCATCTATCAGTTACGAAGCAGAGATTGTTATTTATATCTTACGAAAGAATTTAACTTGTTTCATCACTGTAACCTTCTATGGTTTGACAGTATACAGGTTTTCAGAATGTATTTTCAACACATTTTATGTGCCTCCCTAATTTTTGAAGTTGTGTATTGCATAATTAAGCATAAGTCTGCATATTCTTTGAAATTCACTTCACAAGGCAACAGGTAAATTCAAGCAATATTCAGATTTGTAAGCTAATAAAATAACCCATGAATTTAATATTTCTCATTGGAACCACGCTACAGTCATCTATTTGTCAAATGCTTTTTAATTTTGTATTATTAGATGACCATGTTTCTCTCTGTAGTTGCATGAAAAATAATTCATTTGACCTATCTGAAGTGGGAATTTGCATATGCGCCACTGGCATATTGTCTTCTTGCCTTTACATTCATCGGATGTACATTGGCGGAACGATGGGCACCACTTGGTGGTGAACTGATGTATGTCAAGCTGGATGTTGTGAGGGCCCTTTCGGAGAGAGTGAACAGTGCCGAGGCACAGATAGATTATTATGGTCGGAGCAGAATGGCACTGCCAAGTGTTGCAAGAGGATCTGGCTGATGCTTGAAAAGGCGAGACAGATATACAATCGGACATTTACTGGTGCCATCTGAATTTCAACTCTTTGCTTGCTGCTGAGGATGGGAAGGAAGCGCTTATGGGGGCGTCCCGAGTGCTGTGATGTTGATTCTTAATTCAACATTTAACACTGGCAGAAAGTTCTGGTTGTTCACCAATGTCTTGGACTTTGCTCTAGAACTTGAGTTTGTATGCACATCTGGTTTACAGATTAAATTTTTTTTTTAATGCAGACTTTTGGTTCCTTGCTTCTCAGTCAGATGCATTGTAGGGAAACAGCCTTAATTAGTTGACTTTTATGACATTCTCTTTTAGGGGTGCAGTCAGTCCTATTCTCCCCCCCCCCCCCCCCACCCACACCCCTCCAACACTCGGGCCCCAGAAACCATAGAGAGAGAGAGGCAAATTGTACAGTAGCAAATAACAGCTTTAAAAATACACAGGTGAAAATTGCCAAAACTGCAATAGGGCAACTTTGGCATAGTGTCAATGAATCATAGTTCAAGATGTGTATCCAGTATTAGTTTTTTTTTCCCACTATATACAGAAGCTTTTGTGGTCTAGTAGTAACATTCCCATACTCTGCCATGGGGCTCAGATGCTTTATTATTCATGAAATTCTTATTGGCAATTTCTAAGCATGCATAAAGCTGTTGTTACATGTAAGCCAAAAACTTATTACCTTAACCTGCTTCCATACCTAGAATAGATAAGGAAAAAGTGTGTATGCATAAAATATCATTTATTGTGAGTGTGTGAGTGTGTGTGTGTGTGTGAGTGTGTGTGTGTGTGTGTGTGCGTGTGTGCATGTGTGTGTGTTTTTTTTTAATGTGTACAATGTTTTTATGACTCATTCCAGGAAATCTGATGTTTTATTAAATGTCTTATTCTATCTTTCCTTTCGTTCCGGTGCTTTTTTTCCAAACAGTAATTTTATATTTTAGAAATCAGAGAAATATCTGGACAACTACTGGTAGCAACAGTTATAAGAGAAAGAAGATAGTCCCTATATTGGGTGCATTATGAGACTAAAGAGACAAAGAATCACAAAACAGGCCCAGAAATGGGAAATAAATGGACTGAGGAAGTAAGGACGTCCAATAGTTGAGTTGAGTCAAGAATTGACATCATAGCAATTGAAGCATTTCCATGCATGCTCCATCCTCATCTTCAGCAGCCAGCACAGAGTTCCAATACTGATGGTACCTATCACAATCTAGTTAAATGTCCGTCTTGACTTTCCTCTGAGTGTAGTCAGCCAACCAGTCCTAGAGAAACTATATATTGAATATTGATGCAAGAAGCCAAAGGTGCTGGACTTGCATTCTTTTACAACATTAAGAGGATAGAAAAGAATGAATGAATCGACTGTTGGACCTGTGTGACAGCATAAATGTCTAAAGATGGTTATAACTTATGTATTAGACACAAGGGCACCCTGTAGTTGAAACTTTCTTATTTTTTTCTTTACCTCAGTTGAGACATTAAAGGACTACTTTCCCACCTGTGGTGCATAGGGCCCATAGTATTGAACCTATAATTTTATATTTATTGACCAGAACGCTGAATCATGGACAGTTGGTAGATTAGTGAAACATTATTTGGAAGCTGCATATGATGTCTTCTCGAGTGGATCAATCACAGTTACGATAGTTTGGACATGTATGCAGAATGGGAGAAAACTGGCCACCATGGCTGGCATAGGAGGCTAAGAACCAAGGAACCAGACCTCCAGGACGACCCAGGATGCGCTGGGAAGACAACATCCGACAGTCCCTCATGGACATAGGATTGAAATGGAACAAAGCCAGAAAGAAAACTTATTTTACATGTAATAGGCTATGATAAAGATTCAGACAGACATAGTCAAGATTTTTTGGACACGTTCCTAGATACAGTAATCTTGGCTACATAATGTTAACAGATTACTAATTTAAGAATCAACATCATGGGGCAGAGCAATATATCTGGGCTTTTAAGTTGGCTTTACCTGGCAAAGTTGTGGGTAAAAACTATCTTGCCGAGGCTTACCAATGGCCAACGGACACATGCCAACTGTATTGCTTTAATGATTTTTCTATCCTGGGGTTTGGGCATCAGGCCTCCGACAATCCTCATTTCATCATTAGGCCCCTGAGTAAACCTATGGCTCTGCCATTTTTGCTCTGTCTCCAACAGCAAATGTGTTAAGTTGCAGATGCTAACTGTTCTCACAGCAGAAAACCTAATACAGTTGTCAAATCCGATGGGAAAAGAGCAAGTGTAAGACAGAGATAAATTCCTGGAGGGCTCGGGTGAAACAAAATACAGAACTTGAATCTTCTTCTTGTCTGTGGTTACCGGCTGTAAAGTTTGGCAGAAAGTTCTGCTTGTTCATTCACTTCCAGACTTTAGTCTTGTTCCAGACTTGAGTTTTGCTTGGACATCAGTTTCATACAGATCTGACTTACTTGTATGCAGACTGTTGGTTCCTAATCTCTCAGGCAGATGCACTACAACTTCAAAGAAATTGCCACTAATTAGTAAGACATGCTTGTTAGGTGGGTAGCAGGTCTATCCTAGTTTACCCCCAATGAGACCCTGGAACCCGCACAGGAAGACCATATCAGTGATTCTGAAGATTGTCTGAGATGAGTTAAAGTTTAGCTGCATTTCATTTACAGAACATTGCAGAACCTAACTCCAGCATTATTTTTTGGCTGTTGTGGTTTTTCTAGGCAAATGTATGGCCAGTAAACCCGACACCCCGGCATTACGAAGCCCATTCAAAACACATAAGCCACAAATGTGGAGATGAGTACCAAGTTTCTTTTTTTTTTTTTTTTGGCATGTCCCTAATATCGTAATATCATAGAAAGCCATGTTAATATTTTGCCCAGGTCATGCAGGCATGTTTGGGAATGAGCAGACAGATAGGGTGGACAGGTCCCCACTTGGGGGTGTACTGCAACTGTACAAGGCAGAGGTGATCTCTTGTCAGTGGAAGGAGGTGAATAATAAAAATTAAAAAAAAATTAAAAAAACACACCCTTACCTTGAAAGAATGATGAAGCTGTGAGTGTCTGCTGGCTCTGCGTGCCACTTGAGTAAATGACAATGAGCATGATCAGTATAAAGATATTTTGCTTGCTGTTGAGAAGTAGATAAAGCAAATATAGGTTTTTCCTGAATGCTGTGATATTGAATCTTTACCCAGAAAACGTGATATCATGTTTTCTTTCTTAAATGAGCTTTACAATGCAATCCATTTTGCAATTCTGAGGTAAAGTAAAATTAGACCTTCAGGCATATTGGGCTAGACCTTTATATTTAGACCAAGGGTGATGTGGTCAACATCATGCCCGGCACTTTTATTTCCCAGTACTCTATCTGGTACCCATTTGAAGCTGGGTCGACCTAATATACTAGATCTTCTTCTTCTCTTCCACCTTATACCTAATATACTAGATCTACTTCTTCTCTTCCACCTTATACCTAATATACTAGATCTTCTTCTTCTCTTCCACCTTGTACCTAACATACTAGATCTTCTTCTTCTCTTCCACCTTGTACCTAATATTCTAGATCTTCTTCTTCTCTTCCACCTTGTACCTAACATGCTAGATCTTCTTCTTCTCTTCCACCTTGTACCTAACATACTAGATCTTCTTCTTCCACCTTGTACCTAATATACTAGATTCTTCTTCTTCTCTTCCATCTTGTACCTAACATACTAGATCTTCTTCTTCTCTTCCACCTTGTACCTAATATACTAGATCTTCTTCTTCTCTTCCACCTTATACCTAATATACTAGATCTTATTTTTCTCTTCCACCTTGTACCTAACATACTAGATAATACACTAGATAATATACTAGATATATTAGGTACTAATATAAATACTACTTTCCTTTTTTTAAAATAAAAAATATGGGGTCCATGGCATCACTATCATCATCAATTTCCACTTCTGCCATAAAGCGTTGTTTAGAAGAACAGTTTGTGATCCATTGCAGCAATGGTTATTGCCATTCCATGTCGATGTAGAAGCTCTTTAATGTCATCAATCTATATTGTCCTAGGGTGGCCTCTTGCTTTCACTTCAGATCTTTTCATGTGTAGCACCTTTGTTGATAGTTGTTCTGGCTGCATTCTTACTAAATGACCAAACCATTTCAACCTGTTTCTCAATGAATTTGCTGCAGGGGATTGTTCTACAGTCTAAAAAATATCATTGGTCCAGGACAGACCTTCAAAAATATGAGTGGTTTA